AGGAAATACAGGCGACTCTGGCCTTTCTTATATAGGGCGTCAGTGTTTTTACTCCAGTCCAGTTTATTGTCTATGTGGACACCCAGGAACTTGTAACTGTCCACAATGTCCACATCCATGCCCACGATGGTAATTGGGCTTGGGTTAACCACTAGCTCCTTAGTTTTTGTGACGTTGAGCTGCAGATGGTTCTGACCACACCACTCCACAAAACTGTCCACCACACTCCTGTACTCAGCTTCCTGATCTCTGATGATACAGCCCACAATGGCAGAGTCATCTGAGAATTTCTGCAGATGGCAGGACTGTGAGCAGTGTCTGAAGTCTGATGTATAGACTGAACAGGAAGGGAGAGAGGACCGTGCCCTGAGGAGCTATGTTACCCACTTTTCAATAAGGCAGACAGGTGAGCTCTTCTTTGGGAGCCCGTTGCACTTATTAAGGTCTTTGTTACAGATCTAACTTTGAAGACACTCGACAGACCTATTTTGCTGCTGCTTCGTTCACTTCAAAACACTCTCGCTCGCTCTACCATGCACACACACGTGCCACCGCACCCCCCTCTCTCTCTCTTAAAGGGATAGCGATCTGACTCGACATGACCCTAATATCATAACTCTTGCAGGGCTCAACGCTAACTTTTAAAAGTGGTTGCCAGGCTGGCAACCAGGCATCAGCTTTTGGTTGCCAAAACTGAAAATACTTATATTTTAAATAATTCTTTTTTAATTTTTTTTTTATTAGTCAATGTATTGAACATGTCAGAAACAAAACACACAACAATAATAATAAATATTCTTTTTTTTCTTCTCACTCATAATAATAACAAAGTACAAAAAAATAAAACAAAAAATACAATAATAATTCTCAATAATTAAGATACATCAACTTAATAATGAACATGTGACTAGTGTTGTCACGATACCAACATTTTGGTTTCGATACCGATTAGGGTTGCCAGAAACTGACCATGATCAAAACCGATTATTCGGCAGCCCTGGCGAATAATAATCGATTATTCGACCGACCCCCCCCCCCCCCACCCGCGGGAGAGAAAAAACTCAGACAAAAGGAATTCCGTTGTTTTCTTTACTGGAACATGTTTAACAGTACAAACAACAAACATGCAAGCATGTCATCACAACGACGTGGCCTTGAAGTGAAGTTGGTAATGGCCGGCTGTGCTGCGTCTTTCTCTGTAACCTCTTTGGCGTGCTTCGCACTCAAATGTGAACGCATTGTTGAGGTTGAGCTGTGATAGACCAACGTCTTTTCGCAGAGCTTGCATTTAACTTCCTTTGGACTTGTAAGTTTGAAGTAGTTCCACGAGGAGGAACTCTTTTTACCTGCCGCTTTGTTCATCTTTAGCCGCACGTGTGAGGAAGAGGGGGGGTGGGGGCGGGGGCGGGGTCGGTGTGTGTAGCGTGCTGCAGCAGCAGTCTGCTCTGCATGCATGCTTCCTCCAAGTTTACAGTAAAACAAACAGGTGGTGTGACCAATGGCCATTTACAATTATTAATACCATTAATCTATATTTTGGTTGAAACATAACCAAAAAAAACATAAATAATAATAAAAAAATATATAAATAAAATCGATTTTTAAAAATAATATTCGATTATGGAGACTAATGAATATTCGAATAATCACTGGCATCCCTAATACCAAGTCACGAATTGCGATTCCAATTCTTTTTCGATACTTTTCTTAAAAAAAGGGAAACTGTCTTAAATGTAATAATTGTGCTTTATTTCACACCAGAACCATAACACAAACGTTTAAACAATGAGAACAATAAATAAAATAAATGACAATAATTCGTATTAAATCAAATTAAGCATAATCTCAAACTACTTTTGGCTCCCTTGGTTTGCAGGGATCTAAAACATTTCGTACAGACAGGCCTCGTGGTGTCCGTAGGCTTGCCCTCGCTGTAAGGCTGCTCGATTATGGCAAAAATCATAATCTCAATTATTTGGATCAATAATTGATGTCAAGATTATTAAAAACGATTATCCATTTTTTACTATCCAAAATGTGAACAGTATGTTTTAACAGTTGATTACCCTGAACTTGAAGTATAATTCAACTGAAAAACCAATACAAATAAAAAAGTAATTTGAAAAAAAAGTAATAATGATAATAAAGAAATAATCGTTTTAAAATTTGATTACGTTGTTTTCGTAATCGTTGCAAGCCACAATCGTAAATGCGGTTAAGATACGATTAATTGAGCAGCCCTACCTCACTGTCAGAGTAGCGTTGCACGGTGTACCGATACTTGAAAGGTACTGCGATACCCTGCCGTTAAAAATGGTACGATTCCTCCGTTTCATTAGTATCGGTACTTTAAGAATGACGGGGAAAAGTACTCCGGTGAGAAAGCGTCGTTTTAATAAGAGCCGTGTGTGTTCAGCGCTCTGCTTCCACTCCCTGCACTGCAGCCATGCCTAAAGTCCCGCCCCTCTCAAGCACGTTCTAAGTCCCTCCCCTCTCTCGTGCCACGCGCTAGCTGCCAGAGCATGTGAGAAAACGAGAAGCATGGCTGCAAGTGGGAGTGCAGCTGCCGCTGCGCCTCGGCTTGTTGACAAAAAAGACACCAGAAGCGACATTTGGAAGTATTTGAGCTATATCTCTGACAGTGAGGGCAAGCCTACGGACACCACGAGGCCTGTCTGTGAGAAATGTTTTAGATCCCTGCAAACCAAGGGAGCCAAAACATCAGACTTGGCTAAGCACCCCGCCGACCGGAATCCAGAGCTGTTTAAAGAATTTAAAGACAGACAGGTTAGCGAATGTGATAGATAACATAATTACATCATGCTCAAGCCCTCAAATCTAAGTCAAACAAGTGTAATTTATTTTGTGACAAACGAACGTTTTCGTAGTTTGACGAGGCAATTAATGGCAATGATAACCGTCTAATATGGCTATCTTTTTAGCTAACTTACCAATGTGGCCAACATCTGCAATATACATTTTGTCAATAATTATTTATATTACTGTACTATTACATGTTAATATAAAAAAAATTATATTTTATAAAACAAAAAAGTTGTTTGAGATGATGCTTAATTTTATTTAATACGAATTCTTGTCATTTATTTTGTTTATTGTTCTCATTGTTTAAAAGTTTGTGTTATGGTTATGGTTCTGGTGTGAAATAAAGCACAATAATTACATTTAAGACTGTTTCCCTTCTTCTTCTTTTTTAAAGTATCGAAATCGCAATTCTTGACTTGGTATCGGTATCGAAACCAAAATGTTGATATCGTGACAACACTATGTCAGAGATATCGCTAAAATACTTCCAAATTTCACTTCTGGCGTCTTTTTTGTCAACAAGCCGAGGCGCAGTGGCAGTTGCACTCCCACTTGCAGCCATGCTTCTCGTTTTCTCACATGCTCTGGCAGCTAGCGCGTGCACGAGAGAGGGGAGGCACTTAGAGTGTGCTTGAGATGGGAGGGACTGCACGGCTGCAGTGCAGGGAGTGGAAGCAGAGCGCTGAACACACACGGCTCTTATTAAAACGTTGCTTTCTCATCGGAGTACTTTTCCCCGTCATTCTTAAAGTACCGATACTAACGAAACGGAGGAATCGTAACATTTTTAACAGCAGGGTATCGCGGTACCTTTCAAGTATCGGTACACCGGGCAACACTACATGTGACACAAAATAATGTTCAAATGCTTTACAATAAGTAATTAACACAATTATTTGAAACTTGTCCACCCTCAATTGCTGGTATACATCATATACCAGTAGTGCAGCTGTTGTTCTGTTCTTCACAGATCACTGGTTTCTTGGTCATCTGTTGTATCCCTTTCAAGTTTGGGTTTCCTTGACCTTTGTGCTGATCCCCACCATAGATCCATTGGCCCTTCAGCATTGAAGTCTTGGATTGGCCAGACTAATACATTTCTAATGTTAAATAAATGAAAAACATTCACGGTTAATTATTAATTCTGTAAATTACCTTTTTAATACGTCTAACTATATTTAAAATGTGTTACATTTTTATAGAATTGATTATATTTGTATGCCAACATTTGCCTATGGTAAAGTTTCGTTTTGCACTTTTATTTTGGTAGTAATAAGATTGGGACTCTTATTTTTGAAGGAATTTTTACCGGAAGCAGAATGTACATTTATATTTCGCCTCCCAAGACTTTACACATTTCCTCTTTGCTTTTCGTTCGGGTTCACCTTGCACTTTATCAGTTGAATCACCTTGAATGTTCGTTTGAGATGTTGACTGAACTTTTTACCCCACAGTCAAACAACTTAATTTGCTTCGCCATTTTTTGTAAAACAAACACACGGGGCAAGCGAGTAAACGTGCATCGCTTTCTGGCTCCGTAATCACACCAATGCACGTGCAACTTTAGTATCAGGTTCCGACTGGTCACTACAATAATTAAATATCACTCTTAATACAACAAATAATTAACATTTATCTATTTTGGGGTGCACATTTTGCTGTCCTTATTTCTTTGTTAAAAACTGGTTGCCACTGATGGAAACCAAAGGCCAAGTGGTTGACATTTGTTCTGAATGGTTGCCAATGGCAACCTGGCAACCGTTACTTTCGAGCCCTGTCTTGTAATTTCACCTTGAATGCCATTGCTTTAAACATTTATTTTATTATTGTTCTCATTGTTCAAAAGTTTGTGTTATGACTGAAACATTTTTCCAGGTTTGAAATAAAGCACAATAATGACATTTAAGACTGTTTCCCCTTTTTTAATAAAAGTATCGAAAAAGTATGAAAATCGTAATTATTGACTTGGTATCGGTATCGAAACAAAAATGTTGGTATCGTGACAACGCTAGTGGGGACAGAAACATGGAGAAAGGTACCAAACTCTTATTTTAAATCATACTTTTTTAATTAGCAGAGGGCCGATTCAAAATGGCCAGCAGGCCGCATTTTGGCCCCCGGGCCATAGTTTGGACACCCCTGGTTTAAAGTGTTAATTAAGAGTAAAGGGAACAGACCTGCTTGGTGTATCCGAAGCTGAGGCTGTAAAAAAGCGTCCAGTAGTTTCTGAAGTCTCTCGTTCTCCTCTTTTGAACGAGACAGCTCCTCCTCGTGCTCTCCTATCGTTTTTTCAAACAGAGCAAATATATCTTCAGCAGCAGCAGTGAGTCGCTGCTTCTTCAACGACAGCAGCATTTGGACTCTACTCATGTTTACTATATCGCCTTTTCCTGCAAACTCCGTTAAACAAACCGTTTCTCTCTCCATTAAACTCTCAATCTGACTAGTGTTGCCGTTTCAAGCTAGCATGCTAAGCTAGCTCCTATAGTCCGAGGTAAACGCTCCAGAAAAAAGAGCAGAGAGTCCATTCGGAGGTGTATCCAGACCCGACACACAGATGATGGATCAGTAGTGCTGTAGCTCACACGCACTTTCTCAGGAACACACAGAGAGATAGAACCGTAGCGACTAGATGCCTCATGGATCCAGGTTAGAAAGAGCTTCTTCTTCTTCGGTTTTTGACGGATTGCAAACAACTTTAAAGGTGCATACCGCCACCTACTGTACATGAGTGTGAATGGTCATATAATTCCATCTCTTAACTCACTACCCGCGGCTGCGCCGGGACCACCGGCTGTGCCAGGGCCGTCCGTTATGAGCTCATAGTCCGTTGCGCCGAAACCGCCCGTGGCTGCGCCGGGGTGGACTGCCGCGCCAGCCGCCGATGCGCCGGTTGTAATGGAGCAGCAGGTGGCTGCTGCTGCTGCTGCTGAGGGAGGGGTGTCTCCCACGGTGGCGGCCGCTGTTGCTGACAGCAAGAGAAGGGTCTAGCTGCGGCCGCGGACAGTACACGACGGTACACGACACGCCCACCTGACACGACACTACGGTGGCTGAGAGGCACTACCGTGCATGGCAGATTAAAAGCGAATTGACCACACTACACGACACGCCCCCTACACGACACGCCCACCTGACACGACGGTGGCTGAGAGACCGTACATGGCAGATTAAAAACGAATTGCAAATGTTATTGTAGCATTTTAAGCAACTCTTAGGCAAATTAATGAATAACCTATCAATTTGAGAACCCCTTATCCCATTTTGATGGTTGACATCTCATTTGAACAGTGAAAGCCAGAATGACAGCAGGGGTGAATTTTATTTTATAATTTTGCAAAAGTCAAAGATATGTTTACTGTATATTATAAAATAAAACATGCTTGTCATGTAGGCATACTGGAGATGGAAAGGCTTTAGTTAGTGTTGAAGCTGAGATTCTTACCGTTCCAATGATGTATTAATAATAATTGGATACTTGGATTTATATAGCGCCTTTCATGAGACCCAAGGTCCCTTTAAAAAGAAGAACAGGAGTAGAAACAAACATAACAAAAGGCAGTCAGACAAAACAACAAATAGATTTGGGGCCAAAGGCCTTGGCAGACAGATGGGACTTGAGGGCCCTTTTGAAGGCGTCAAGCGTGGGGATGTTGCAGATCTCCGCAGGGAGAGCGTTCCAGAGAGTGGGGGCTGCCATACTGAAGGCTCTGTCCCCGAAGGATCGCAGGTTGGTGCGGGGGGCCAGAGTCTGAAGACCGCAGGTTCCTGGGTAGGGCATGTGGGAATTGTATTGATTTGATACAAGCAAGCCAGTGTTTCATTGTGTACTTTCAACTACAGTATATGGTCCAGCAAGTTCAGCATTCACTGTGATGTATATAAAATAAGACACTGATACCGTTTTCCTCAATGAACATTTATTGAACAGAACATCATATGGAAAATCAGAGCTGGTCAACTTAAAAAAATATTGACCTGCAGGAGTTTAAAGCCTATTTAAAAACTCCTCTGAATCTTTCACAAGTCCTTCAGCCTTTGGTGTGCTTCCTCACTCATGTTCTTGGCGAGGTCATGAGAACAAAGTTCCATCTCACTGATAAGACAAGATGGTATAAAGAAGTCATATGTAATATTATAAAATCACATGCATCAGGGGTTGTACACTTTAATGTGTCCATTCACTAACCGACTCTTTAGGAAGGAAGCTGTAAGGCCTCTTGTTATAGGAGTGGTCCTCATCAGTGACCAGGGGCATCAGACAGTCAACCATTATTTTGACAGTGCTTTACATGCACGGTTTAACTCCTCCAAAAATGATCCAGGCTCGATTTAGAATGACACAGTACCACACAAAACAAATGTTGCATGTACCATAAGTTCTATGTAGTATGTGTTTTAGGAGTAGTAACCCACTACCATGTCTGTGAGAATCCCTTCATCGTGAACAATAGGTGAATTGGTGGCCAGAGGGCTGTACGTCAAGGACTGGACATGGACGCAGTCAAACCCGACTAGCCCACTTCTCCGTGCATAGTCATATGCCCTGTTGCACATTTCCAACTGACAGGTGATACCCAAGTTAGATTTTTTGACATGAATACACGGCACAGGACCCTTAAAAAGGTCCTGGAAAATGCAAAACGTCCCCTTTTTTATCTATGCACTATGATTTTAGGTGGCGATTTGCTGTGATGTCCGATGTTTTGGATGAGTGGTGCCTTTGTATGTGCATTTGTAGGTTTTTCCTTTTTAGTTGTAGGCTACAAAAACAACATGTTGTGGTTTAGCGCTTTGACATCAATTTTGGGGGCTGTGGAAATATTGTGCCATGTTGCTGCAGCAGCCGGAGCTATCACTGGAGCGGCCGTCTGAGCTATCACTGGAGCAGCCGTCTGAGCTATCACTGGAGTAGTCGTTGTGGTTGCTGGGGCCGCCGCCAACGTAGATGTTCGGTGCAGCAGTTTTTAAAGTGACTAAAGAACATCTCCTTTCTCCCAATGATTGTTGGGCAAAAGCCACAGTGATAATGGCTGCTGGCCACACATTTGAGATGGTATTTATAAACATTATAACCTAGAAAAGAGACAGAAAGTGGTTTAGAGGATTCTAGAAACAAACCAAAATGAATTTCTTGTAAATATGCTATTTGAAACAAGGTGTTTGTGCGAGAGCAATAAATAATCATGTCACCAACAATAATATTTTTGCCTATAAACAGAATTTTTGCAGATTGAATGTGTGATTATGCTCATATTGTGCCTACCCCAAATAAGGATACTATTCGAGCATTATTAACAATTCATAACCTGAATATAAATCTAATTTTGAATGTTCAATTTCTAATTCAAAATTAATTTACACCAAGGATGTCCTGGGGCACAGAAATAACACATGTAATGAGTGAGGCATTAAACACATCTAACAAGTAACATGTAATGTGATGAAGTATACAATAATCATATATAATTATAGATTTACTTACCTCCCTATTTCACAAGTGACCTCTGGTGGCTCTGCAAATGAGCCATCAGACCAGGGTGTTACCCGGTCCTTTCACAAAATGGACACTGGAAGGTGTCCGAGTCCAATTTGTTTTGCTCTGGGCGTGCTCCATCACGGAGTGTTGTGTTGTTTGTCGATAGGTGAATAAAATAGAATACAATTTAAGTGACTTTAATATTGTTAATAGTTAACTCCTTAAACAAGCAGCAATGGACTGGCCTGTATAATCCTATGGGACAAAGCTGGTCATACTTCCTCACTTTCAGAAGGTAACCCTTTAACTGCCAGCGCCACCATTTGGTAGAGCACATTTTGTGTCTTGATATCTTGTTGAAAAAATAAATAAAAAAGTGTAACTCCATCTGATTCAGCCAGCTCTACTCTTTGGTTGATATGTTATGCACAAAACAACCTCTAGATTTCACTGTGGTTCGAACAGAAAGCCCTTCAGCTAGTTTAAATGTCAGGCCTACAGCATGGCCACAAACCCCATCTAAAAACAGAGGCTCTGTCCTAATTACCTGATTGCATCCACCTGGGTTACTTGGCTCTACCCAATAAGTACCATTTAACTTTAAACCACACTTAAAATAATAATTATACATGTCTAGCAGCTAATACATGTTTTAAATAAAAAACATTCAAATGTGAAAGACACCTTCAATTAATATTTAAAACTTACACAAAATCAGATTCTTGTAAAAATTGGAGTACATGCATTGTTCCATCTGTCAAGCTAAGATATATATACATATATCTTAGCTTGACATGCTAACTGAACGTCGAGCATGTCAAGCTAAGAGCTAAGATATATATATATATATGTATTCCATTCCTTTACATTTAATATTTAAAATACAAATCAGCAAAATAAACACAATTACACTGCGCTAAACAGCCACATCGACAAACAAACGAGAACCTAAATAGTATGTAATTATATCTAAAACCACAATACGTTAATTACCTGTACTCGGTGCACCATATTGTTTGTTGTCTGTAAACCTCCATAGAGGTTTCTCAATACTCAAATTTCCCCTCCTCGACTCCTCGACTCCTCGGTCCTCCGGTAGTGACCCGGAAATGAATTTCAGCGGCCATGTTGAAGGACATCTCATTTCTCTAAATGCACTTCGAGGACCGTATATATCCAGTCTCTGATTGTGTTACGTTATTATGAGAGTGCTCTCATACTTGTTTGATTCTGAAATTGTATATATTTATATAAATATATGTGTGTGTATATGTCCGCATCTGTAGCCCGTTATTGTCTCATTATACCGCACTGTGAATGAATCAAAGTAAATATAAGTCATCATGAACACATCTGTCCATTAGACAGAGGGCTGCTGTGCCTCCTGTCATCATTAATGGACGTCTCTTTAAAATGACCGCTCAGAGGAGAGGAGTTCTCATTTCTCTAACCGCCTGCTGCTTCCACTCCTCTCTCCTCGGTTCCCCTCCTCAGTCCTCCGCTCGCATCTCCTGTGGGCGGCACCAAAGAGGCTTCTCAATTCTTAAATTTCCCCTCCTCGACTCCCCTCCTTGAGACTTAGTCCCGCCCACAGGAGATGCGAGGGGAGGACCGAGGAGTAGAACCGAGGAGAGAGGAGAGGAAGCAGCAGACGTTTAAATAAATGAGAACTCCTCTCCTCTGAGCGGTCATATTAAAGCGACGTCCGTTCATTATTACGTGGCAACAGCTGCATCAGCTGTCGAGTGTTTTGTCACAGAGCTGTATTTTATAATATCTGTTAGATCAGCTGAACATTGTTCCCCCACATATTTACTTTGAATTCATTGAGAGTGCGGTATAATGAGACAATAACAGGCAACAGATGCGGACACACACAAATATATTTATATAAATATATACAATTTAAAGTATGAGAGCACTCTCATAATAACGTAACACAGAGACTACTACAACACACACCTACACACTGTACCACACACACACACACACACACACACCTACAGCTCCTAAAGCATAATCAGGCTACAGCCGTTGTGTATTTTATTATGTGAAGCACTAAATGGTTTTAGAAAAATATCGACTCTTTGTTTGTAGATATCTACTAAACTAAAGCAAATAAAGAGAGTAGGCCTGTTATACTCAGTGATATATATTATACATACTGCTCTGCTTTCTGCATGGACCTCACAGCTGTTCTCTCTGGAAACATCGTGAAGCGATAAAAGCAGTTTCTAAAATAATATCCAGGGGATGCATGCAGAGCTGTCATTGGCTGAGATAAGTCCGGCCGTGCGTCACGCCTCCACCGTTCCCGGAAATGCATCCGCGGAGGAGCCGTGGAGGAACCATCAGTGTATCCTCGGTTAGAGCTCCTCCAGAGAGCCTCCTCGATTCTCGATGCTCGGTCCTCGAGGAGTCGAGGAGTCGAGGAGGGGAAATTTGAGTATTGAGAAGCCTCTCAAGTCTCGAGGAGGGGAGTCGAGGATA